CACTGTATCTGCCTATATAGTACAGGAGAACCAGCAGTATATATTGGTTAGAAAGTCAGACTGGGAGTAATTCAAATCCTCCCTCAGTCTCTATTTCTGCTTAACTTTCCCCTCAGAGTGGATATGAGAAGAATAGGATGGGGGAACCTTCTATGCCACCCCAAACTGAGTTCATTGGAGGGAGGTGGAGAGAGACAGAGAAGCAGTATAGTGTTTTATATTTCTGCCTGCCTGTCCACCTTCTTCTCCTTAACTGCTTTGTGGGTCTGCGTAGGATATATCAAGCTGAGGGGCTGGCTTTGTCCTCTTTGTGACTTGTAGGGAGCAGGTGGTGCTGTGGTCTAAACTACTGAGCCTTTTGGCGGTTTAAATCTGCATGACAGGGTGAGCTCCTGTTGCTCTGTCCCAGCTCCTGCCAACCTAGCAGTTCAAAAGCACGCCAGTAGATAAATAGGTACTGCTGTGGCAGGAAGGTAAACGGCATTTCTGTGTGCTCTGGCACTCATTGCGGTTTCTCATTGTGCCAGAAGCAGTTTAGGCATGCTGGCCACATGACCCAGAAATATATCTGCAGACAAACGCCGTCTCCCTCGGCCTGAAGCGAGTTGAGCACTGGACCCCATAGTCAAGTTTGACTGGACTTACTGTATTTTTCGCTCTATAGGACGCACCGGACCATAGGATGAACCTTGTTTTAGAGGGGGAGAACACGAAAAAAAATTCTCCCCCTCTCTGCTCAGCGCCCCTTCAGCGAAGCGGCAGGAGAAACAGAACCCCTGAGGGGTCGCTCTCCAGGCTTCAGCAAAAGCAATGCGAAGCCTCCGGAGCGTGGAGGGAGCCCTCCCTGCACTTTGGAGGCTTCGCGTTGCTATTGCTGAAGCCAAGGAGCCTGCATTCGCTCCATAGGACGCGCACACATTTCCCCTTAATTTTTGGAGGGGGAAAAGTGCGTCCTATAGAGCGAAAAATGTGGTAACTGTCCAGGGGTCCTTTACCTTTTACCCCTCTGTGACTTGCCATGTCAGATAAATCCTCCATTGTCTGCCACTTAGGAACTACAGGGAAGAGAGAAGGCTGGTTGGATATGCAGGACTCAGTGCCTTAGTAATATTGCCAGCCAATACGTCAACCATGTGTATTACTATTCATGCTTATTAGCATGTTTCCTGTTCATTGTGTCAATTGACAAGGCAGCAGGCGGAAAAACAGGCTGCCAATCAAGTTTCTTTATTGAACAAGCTGTCTTCACAAAGGTTTGACTTAGGCTTCACACATACAATTCAGACTTTAGGGCGGGTGGCAAATTAAGTTAGGAAGAAGCGGGATGTCAGCACTCCTGATTATCGTGCTAGAAAAGGCAGGTGTGGCCTGCCCAGCTGTGTGTTTGGAATTGTTGTGGATGCAAGTAGCCCTCGACTGTGTACATTGCAGTTTAATGTTAGGTTTGTGTAAGAAGGATGTTTCACTTAGAAAAAATGTGGCAACTTGTCAGTTAAGCTTGGCTAAGAGTGTATGCTGACCTCTTGTGTGTTTGGTCCAAATTATGACACCTAAAATAAACAATCCTTTGCTTGGCATTTGTGCTTCTGTTCTGTAACTCTTCTACAAACACAACCTTTGTAACCTAAGACCCAAAAAAAGGGAGCAGTCAGCTTAGTTTTAAGGGGGGGAAATACATCTAGACTTTAAACTGAAGTGATCTGCTGCTATGGGACGTATTATTTCTTTCTCTTCAGCTACGCTCTTTTAGTAGCAATTTCTCTCTATAAAATTAACTCCTGCCGTTTTCCTCTTTCACTTACAGTGGTACCTCGGGTTACATACACTTCAGGTTAAGAATGGACCTCCGGAACGAATTAAGTACGTAACCCGAGGTACCACTGTACTTTAGAGGAAATACCTGTCTGACTTAGTAATGTATGCAGCTTAAAGTTCTCAAAACATAACGCTGATGCGCATGCCTTCCATAGCATTGACATATCCTTAAAATGTTGACATTTAGCTGGTACCAGGGTGCATTTGTGCTGCGACGAGTTAAGATCGAAAGCTGAAATGCTTCTCATGAATTGTCTTCAGAATGAATACCCTTCAGTAGCATGGGGGTACTACACCGCCCACAGTTTTGCCTGTTCAGCGTGGCCAGATAAAACCTGCCGTGTACGTTTCCCTCACTACATATTGGGTGTACAGTGGTACCTCGGGTTACTTATGCTTCAGGTTACAGACTCCGCTAACCCAGAAATAGTACCTCGGGTTAAGAACTTTGCTTCAGGATGAGAACAGAAATCGTGCTCTGGCGGCACGGTGGCAGCAGGAGGCCCCATTAGCTAAAGTGGTGCTTCAGGTTAAGAACAGTTTCAGGTTAAGAACGGACCTCTGGAACGAATTAAGTACTTAACCCAAGGTACCACTGTATTTGAACATGACACTATATCTTTGCATTAGGGATCTCTGTGTTTGAGTCTCAGCTGCTTCCCCTTCCTCCTCCGGCCTGGCCACAAGGAGTTCAGAAGCTTTCAGTTGTGTTTTAGATGAATCGCAGCTTGCCGTATCCCTCCGACTTGGTTCTTAACTATGGTTAGTGGAAACAAACAAGCTTCCAGCCGCAGTTCTCAACTAACCACAGTTTAGGATTCAGACGACCTCCTAAACTGTGGTTAATGAGAAAGAAAAGCTTCCAATCTCCTTCTGATGCGACTGCAAGGAGAGGGGAGTTGGAAACGTGTGAGGCTGAGGCCAAATGTAGCCACTGCATATTTGGGTGGTTCAGGAAACCATCCTATGGAGATCCTTAAATGTTAAGAACGGAAGTAAAGTTTACACAGTTAGAATTATCCCATAGTCGGTAGTTCCACAGAAGATAAGGGTTGGAGAAAATGTTTTGTCTGCATGATTTGTAGTCACTAAAAGATTAATGTTTTAGCATTGCAAAAGCAGCAGAAGCTGTTCCTTAGCATAGCTGACTTAGACAACATTTTTAAAGTGTACGAAGATTTCTCTGCTTGCATTTTGTTGTGTTCACTTTGCAAGGAATTGCTTCTCTACTTCGGGTTCATTGGGAATTAATGAAGTGGAGTAATGCTTATGGATTGATCTGTGATATCCAGTTTTTATTTCATGACTCATTAAGCTTAGTTTTGCCTTGGCCTGCTTTAGAAACTAGCAGCTTGCATAGTTTTCTTTCAGACTAAAACACTGGGAAATAGAGATAAAATTTCTGGAATTTGTTGTACTGTAGTCTCAAAATCACTATGTGAGCTTCAGGCTTAGGGCTTTTACTATGTCAGCCTCCAAAAGTCCAGGATTCTAGTGTTTTTTGAGTTGTAGATGTTCTCAACAGCATTGAAAAGAACCCACCCTATTCCCTTTTGTAGTATTTCTGCCCTTCAGGGATTGCACTGAAAGGTGCCAAAGTATTTTCCCATGCAGGGTGAGGTCTGTTGGTGATCCTACTGACTAGAATCTCACCTGTGTGACTAATATAGGAATCATCACCCTTACTCCAGGTTTGCCTTCATGGGTATAGCCAAGTGGGGGAAGGGGAGGGACGGGCAGCTGCCCCCCAGTCAACAAAAATATTAAAAATGCATAGCTAACTGAGGTTTTGACCCCTCCCTACAAAAGGCCTGCCCCCCCTAACAAAAATCCTGGCTACACCCATGCTTGCCCTTAGTGATATTGTCACATAACCAGATCTGATTTGGCTTATAAATATAGTATCATGATGTTCCATTCACTGTGTGATCCCTAGTAGGATGGCATCATAGAGAAGAAGAGGACTTGGTAATTTGAAGCAGGGCAGATATGGTGGTGTAGCAGCAGAGAGGAAGCAAGTAGGTGCAGGAAAAAGGGGGGGGGGAGTGAAAGGATTGGGGGTGGGGAAGAAAACTTTTGCTGCTCCCCAAAGCTCTGGTTACAGCTTCAAATTGAAAAGGTCCAGTATCCACTGCAGGGCTGAGAGATGCATGCAGTGATGATCGTAGCAAGAATTCAGAACTTTCAGATTTTTTGTAGCTATTTATTTGGTGTTGGAAGAGACCTCTGGGAAAGGGAAAGGAAAAATTAACCTTCTGGATGTGTGTGCATGAGTACACTGGTAGGAAATCTAGACTATGTGTCATCCTAGGAAGAAAAAGGATAACTTGTTATAGATTCTAGAAATAAAAAAGGACCAGCAATGCTGGAGAAAAAATTTATGCTCCAAACTGTTGCCACCTGATCATATACAGCATTTTTGTTGTGGTCTTAGGGTCAGGGTCCCTGCCATTACTGTATTATGCTCATGTCACAGAGCCTTATGAGTGCATCTACCAGGGAGGCAGTAAAATGCTACCCCTGACCGCTCTGCCACTACCCTGCTTATAAGCCTCTACTCTAGCAGGTTTCAGAGACACCCACAGCCTGCAGGCTATCATCTTGAGAAGCTTTTAGCAAACTGGAAGTCAAGGACAGCCTATCATCACCAATTTCCCATTTGTCCAAACTTTGCCCTTGTTTCTGGAGCAGTCCGGCTCATTGAAGATAAACTGTAGTGACTTACGCAACCAGCCACCCTCTAGCATTCCACTACAATATAATTTATTTGTAAAATAATGAATAAGGAAGGTGGGGGCGGGGAGAGGTAAGTAGAGTGCAAGATAAAATAAATAAACCAAATTTAACAGCTAAGTAGCCAACCCAGAGGAAGCAACAGGGTTCAGCTCACATGCTTGGCGTATGCATGGTTCTTCACAGCTGTTTTGCTGATGGCAAACACTAGATCAGACTTCTTAGCGATAGGGGATGTGGAAATGCTCTGGAAAATGTGAGATGACACTTCCTTTGATGCAGTCCTGTCTAACTGCCCTGCAAACAAACCAGAATAAAGCCAGTTAAATAGCCAACATTGTCTTACCTCTCTGTAAACAAATCAGGATCATAGAACCATGCACTCACACAGTAAAGTTGGAAAGTACCCCAAGGGCCATCTAGTAGTTCGACCCCTTGCAAGGCAAAAATCTTGCCCAACATGGGGCTCAGACCCACAACATTGAGGTTAAGAACCTCATGCTCTGCTGACTGAGCCATCCTTTTTGCATATTGAGGATGAATTCTCAATAAACGGTTTGTCTGGAAGTGCCCGCAGAAGCCAGTCCCAATATGTTCAATGGGACTTGCTTCCTAAATAGTTGGTTTTAGGATTGCAGTTTAAATTGAGCTTGCTTGCCACCTGAGCAGAGTAGCTAAGCATAACTGTTAACTGTTCTGACGTTTTTGTTCTTCTATTGTTGCCTTTTATTCGTTTAGAACTGCTTTGGGAACAAGTTAATTGTGGAATCGTGTAAAAATAAACATGATGGTCATGGATATCTAAAAGTGGCCTTTCTGAAAGCGATTTCACAAGGTACAAATCCAGAAGAAACATATAAAAACCTGGTTTGGAGGCTTGCTCGTTCTTCCAGTGCTTGTGGTTTGCGATACTGAATGCCTCAGATCTATTTTTGATAGCTTAGTGCTTCTTTGACATCAGCAAAAGCGAAACAAAACAAAACCCATGCAAACAAGACGCATAGAGCAAAAATATTTTGTCTTTGGCCCAGACAAACGTGATGTAAGGGAACAGTGCTTTCCAATTTCACATTTACTTATTATAGATTTATTGCAACAACTGTGAATTACTGCCTATTTCAGCACAGGCTGATTTGTTTGCTCAGGAGCTTGTGTGTGTGACAGCGCCATCGGCTTGGAAGCATTTCAAACATGTTAGAAAGACGAGTTCTAGCTTTCTGTGGTGGCACATTATTGTGGAGCTGTTATCTTGCAAGCAACCCTGGAAACATTTTACATTGAAGGTTGGGATGTACGCTTATGAGATAACTTGAGGCACTCGGTTGGCTTGTTGTCCTAGTAAAAAAAAAAAAATCTGCTGAAAATTTTGGTTGGCATCTTTTGTTTATGTATTGTTAAAGATTCCATAACTTCCCTTCCCTCTTGGCCATAGCTTGCACTGCTTGCATGACTGGTTGACTCAAGTTGGTTTGCTGAATTTGGAAACTTTGCGCTACCTGGCAGAGGCCTAAAAATACATTCTGTCAAGGAGCAAATTATTGGAGATCCTCTTAAGATCACCCTGAAGATAACAGAAATTTGTTAAACAAGCATATTCCACGGCAAATAGTATTCCCCCCGATAAACTTAATTTTAGGCCAATAATAATAATAATAATAATAATATATTTATACCCTGCCCATCTGGCTGAGTTTCCCCAGCCACTCTGGGTGGCTTCCAATCAAGTGTTAAAACAATACAGCATTAAATATAAAAAACTTCCCAAAACAGGGCTGCGTTCAGATGTCTTTAAAAGATGATAGCTGCTTATTTCCTTCACATGCTTATTTCCTCCACAGGGCGGGCGCCACTACCGAGAAGGCCCTCTGTCTGGTTCCCTGTAACCTCACTTCTCACAGTGAGGGAACCGCCAGAAGGCCCTCAGCGCTGGATCTCAGTGTCTGGGCTGAACGATGGGGGTGGAGACGCTCCTTCAGGTATACAGGACTGAGGCCGTTTAGGGCTTTAAAGGTCAGCACCAACACTTTGAATTGTTCTTGGAAACGTACTGGGAGCCAATACAGATCTCTCAGGACCGGTGTTATGTGGTCCTGGTGGCCACTCCCAGTCACCAGTCTAGCTGCCGCATTCTGGATTAATTGCAGTTTCCGGGTCATCTTCAAAGGTAGCCCCACGTAGAGCGCATTGCAGTAGTCCAAGCGGGAGATAACTAGAGCTTGTGAATAACATGCCTTTATTAAAGCTCTGGTTTTTAGACCTTGCTAGACCAGAGGCGGGACGCGGGTGGCACTGTGGTCTAAACCACAGAGCCTAGGGCTTGCCGATCAGAAGGTCGGCGGTTCGAATCCCCACGACGGGGTGAGCTCCTGTTGTTTGGTCCCAGCTCCTGCCCACCTATCAGTTCGAAAGCACGTCAAAGTGCAAGTAGATAAATAGGTACCGCTCTGGCGGGAAGGTAAATGGCGTTTCCGTGCACTGCTGTGGTCCACCAGAAGCAGCTTAGTCATGCTGGCCACATGACCTGGAAGCTGTCCGCGGACAAACGCTGGCTCCCTCGGCCTATAGAGCGAGATGAACGCTGCAACCCCAGAGTCATCCGTGACTAGACTTAATGGTCAGGGCTACTTTTACCTTTTAGACCAGAGGCTAGTGATTCCACATATCCAAATACAGTGGTACCTCAGGTTACATACGCTTCAGGTTACATACGCTTCAGGTTACAGACTCCGCTAACCCAGAAATAGTGCTTCAGGTTAAGAATTTTGCTTCAGGATGAGAACAGAAATCGTGCTGCGGCGGCACGGCAGCAGCAGGAGGCCCCATTAGCTAAAGTGGTGCTTCAGGTTAAGAACAGTTTCAGGTTAAGAACGGACCTCCAGAACGAATTAAGTACTTAACCCGAGGTACCACTGTAAATAATAAATTTAAACAAATGTGGGCTGGTGATACATGATAATATGTATGGAATTTGAATTTCATAATGGAGAGGAAAGTTTAATGTCATGGAGTAAGGGCAGAAGCACAAAAAGGAACTTGCTCAATATTTTCTGAGAAGTCTCAGTGATGTTGAAGTGTAATCTGATTTTGAACCACCATTCTCATTTTGTAGCATCAGCTTCTCTCAGTAATCCTGGAATCTTGTTTCAAGCTCTTTTAAGATGTATATTAGTGGACCGTTTGCCCAGTCTCTGTATTACGGCATTAGCTGGTGAACAGGTTCTCCCCCCAGAAATTTCATGTCAGGCACTTTAGGCGACAGAAATGCAGAGGAAGTTGTCAGCTGAGGGGAAATTTTGAGGAATTGACGGGGAAATTCTGTTCCATTGCTGACCTGTTGAAAACTGAACATTTCCACTTCTCTTATTAAAGAAGACTCAAATGGGAATCTGATGTAGGTCTTTAAGGCGAATTGCTGTTGGCATCCATCTGTCTCGAGAGACAATAGAGTGCGACTCTTGGGGGGCAAAGCCAAATCACTACACTCAAAGCACCAAATTGACCTCTCTGGGGCGCAAACCTGGGCAGTGTGTATGGAGGTCTTGGGCAGCCCAGGCAACAAGACAACCTTCTCGGCCTCGCTGATGTGGTCCAAAGGAAAGCAGAGTGATATGTTTGGCACCAGCTTGGCTGCAGGAGTTTCTGGAAGGAGACATACAAGGCGCCATCCACTCCGGACGACCACTCCCACTTAACGACTTCACTCCGGATTTGTATAGGGTTTACTCCTTAGGCTTTTCTTCCCCCAAAGGTATCCTTCAAGGCAGTGGAGGTTTAGGATGAGATATTTCATTCTCTTAGATCAGGGGTAGGCAACCTAAGGCCCGGGGGTCGGATGCGGCCCAATTGCCTCTCAATCCGGCCCACGGACGGTCCGGGAATCAGCGTGTTTTTTAGATGAGTACAGTGGTACCTCGGGTTACGTACGCTTCAGGTTACAGATGCTTCAGGTTACAGACTCTGCTAACCCAGAAATATTACCTTGGGTTAAGAACTTTGCTTCAGGATGAGAACAGAAATCGTGCAGTGGCACAGCAGCAGCAGGAGGCCCCATTAGCTAAAGTGGTGCTTCAGGTTAAGAACAGTTTCAGGTTAAGAACAGACTCCAGAATGAATTAAGTTCTTAACCCGAGGTACCACTGTAGAATGTGTCCTTTTATTTAAAATGCATCTCTGGGCTATTCGTGGGGCGTAGGAATTCGTTCATTCCCCTCCCCCCAAAAAATATATAGTCCGGCCCACCACATGGTCTGAGGGACAGTGGACCGGCCCCCTGCTGAAAAAGGTTGCTGACTCCTGTCCTAGATGGACTATCTTCTTGATGAGCCCCATCTGCCCCTCACTTCCCTCTACAGCACGTGCAGAGATTGCCTTCTTGACCATCGAACCCACTATTGGTCAATCTGCCAGGGTCTGTTTTTGCATGCAGGAGAAGTCCCTAACTCACGGAGGGTTTGAGACCCATCAGCTGCACTCACCTGGTTTAGCTGGCCAGCCAAAGCCGTTTCTCAGGTTGTGGCTCCTGTCTCATGCTGACAGCTTCTAGGAGCCACAGGTGAGAGCTGAGGCCAGGGTGGGAACCAAAGCTGGACAAACTACCACAGAAGGAGCATGACGTGTCTCCCACCAGAGGTACCCCCCCTCACCTTACACCCCATACACCCCAAGTAAAATAATGTAGGAATAATAATGGGAAGCATAATATTTTATCGATAACGTCTGATACTTAAAGGCGTTGTTGATATGCAGCACTTTGCTTGCTGGAAATGGAGTTTGTCTAATGCTGATTTGAAAATCCTTGAGAATGTCCTTTGGTTAATTTCATTTGGCAGAGATTTATGATATTATAGCATATGGCCTAAAATGGGGCCAATTCTCCACCCCTCCCCCGTGTTCTTTGACTTGAATTGAAAGATTTACAACTTTCTTTCTCCTCAGTCTCAGTCAATCTATATATCTTGAAAGAATGTATTTTTAATACCCTAAATGGCTGAATACATTTTTAGTGCCTGTGTCACTGTGACACCATAAATTAGGACACTGTGCCAGAGGCTATTCATTCAACCTTATGTTTACTCGAAAACATGCCTCACTGTGTTCAGTGGGGCTTACTCCCAGGTAAATATTCATGTGATTGCAGTCACAGTTTCTAAATATAATAAGGAAATGGGAAAAAAGGTATTTATGTTAATGATCCTGCCCAGTATTTGCTTCTGAGGATATTTTGGAGTGGTGACGGTCTTTAAAAATAGAATCTGCTGAGCTCCTTAGGTCCTGATGTTATTATCCATTTTCTTTTCCTGAATGGATACTTAATTTGAATAGCACACTGAACTGTTTCCTTGTGCATTCTTAATTTATTTGTTAAAAATTGAGACTTCTCATATTGTTTTTGGAGTTCAATGTGGAATATATTTATGATCTTAGTAAACAATTTGACAGGGTGCTGACAAAGCAGTTGCAGAAAACTTATTGTGTACATGTTTAACATTGTTGAACACTGAGTAATGCTTAATGATGAGTC